GATAGATACAAACAAAGCCAGGGTTGGCTTGGCACAGATTACATAGCGTTTTATAGGTTCCCCATTCCCGCGCTTCCCCCCCCGTTGCCTTGGTTACTGATTGCCTGCGGTATTCTCCCCCTCGCCCAAATGGTAGATTCAGCCCAGTTCTTTGTCCCCCTTGATTGCTGTCCTTTGTCTATGGGGTTGTTGCGTTCGTTGGGCTTTTCTTCTGCAGGCTAAGCTGGGAGTTCTTAATTGTGCGCTGATCGCTGCGGTTTGCTTTGCCTGGGGCCCTTGAGGGAAGCCGGCTGTGATACAGAGTATCCGCTCCCGCCCTGAGTTAATCGCCGCCACCTATTGGCAATTAGTTTGTGGTTCGCCTGACTTCCCCTTTTCTGCTGCCTGCACCTGGGGCAGTGAAATTGACTAGGGGCGGTGAAACTGAGCAGCGGCGTTGGCTGTGCCGTGCTGGCTGAATCTGACAGCCATAAGGAGATGAATTTAAAAACGATATCTCTTATTAATACTATTAATTTCACCATTTAAGCCAAGTCCGTTAGTTTAATCATTCTTGTGCTGTAGGTATTTGTGGGACCTTCCATCTTCCTTGGCTTGTTCATCTCCCAGATTCATCTATAACAACATCTTATACATTTTAACAGTAACATATTCATCATTTATACAAAGTTGCATCTCAAATTGTTTCATTAACAAATCTATAATTTATCCAACTGAAAACATTCAAACAGTTGCACGTAAGTAGGTCAATAAGATATAAAGCCTTCTAACTCTAACTAATCTTTTATTTTAAAATTTAATTCACCCTATCCCTTTCTAATTTTTCCCAATAAAAATTTATTCTTTTTCAGAGTATCTGTCAAAGCAGCATAATCCTTTTCCTTCCTTGAAATTCTTACTGATATTTCTTTAGGCACAGTTATATCCACGTTTTCAGTGTTAAGTTTAAAATCAAAATGTACTTGAAAGACCAACCCATCTCTTGGTTTACCATATACAATTGCATACTTAGAATTTATACAAAGAATTTTCTCTATTTCATTGTTGTTGTTGTTCAGTCGTTAAGTCGTGTCCGACTCTTCGTGACCCCATGAACCA